TATAAATGACCAGCTGAATTCCTGCAGAAAGACTGAAAGTTAGTGATTAAAACGTGCACTAAAGCACTGCTGACACTTACCTCTGCTAGGATTAAACCTTTTCTAAGCGGCGGTGTGACATGTGGAGGCGGAGAGACGTGAACCCGTAGAGCTGATTTTAATTAAAAGTTCCTCCAGTTTTGGTTAAACAATAAAACTTTTGACAACACTATGGGGGACGTAATTCCTCTCCGCTGCCTTGCTTTGATACTGTATTTTTAAAAACTGCAAATTTTAAGTTTGAAGTTGCATCTTCTATTAATTTAGTTTTTCTGATGTTTTAGATTTTTGCTCTTTTTGCATGGGTGTCAGTATATTTTGGCAGGTATTGCTTCAAAGTCATCATTTTGTTATTGTGACGACAGCACTAGCTGATATTGACACTAACTGCAATTGTGTAGGATAGCTGGAGAGATAACAAAAGGATAATGGTAGATGTTGTCTGGTTGCTGTCAGCACTAGACATGTAATCAAACATGGTTTAGTTGAGGAAGTTTTTTTTTTTTACATGGAAGTTGACTTATCTTGGGCTGAGTATTATCATATCTTTAGCTGTAGCTTATTTAAAAAATATGTGGTCACAAATGTAGGTTTGTAAAATAATTGTATTTTTAAGTTACAACCTGTTATAATGATTAAAAAAAACATTTTATTTTTTTCATCAATGACAGAAAGTCACTAGTTTATAAATTTTCATGTCTATCTTTTTCACAGTTTTTATTTTATTTTGGTTTTTTTTACAATTATATCATCTTTGCAGGGCTTTTGAAAGTTTGTATGAGCTTGTAAATGACTCTTAGTTCAGTAACACCCACATCTTATTTGCATATAAATTCAGACTTTCAACAGGCAATTTAAAGTGGAGTGTCACAGCATGCATTAAAAGAATAAATTCTCAGAAAATGAATATTAAAACCAACCAGTCCAACCTGCAGAGGGATTCAGGTACAATACGAGCCGATGTGACGAGGGCGCCCTGCTTAGAATTGGTGCATGAGGGAGATGTGCAAAGTAAAAAAAAAAAAAAAATTAAAAAGTAAAGTGAAGTGAAGCCAAAACAAGAAAATAGTCTCAAAAATTATTTGTACTCCCATTTCTACTGCGACATGCAAAAGATTTACTACATAATTTCACAAGTAAATAAGATGCCATCTGTTGTGTCATCCTACATAATTACTAGTTCCTCCTTTGCCAGTTCTCATTGTTGAAAGGTGAGAAACTCCTAACACATGCCTGCCACGCACACACACACACACACACACATACTCACAGTCACACACTCACATGAAGCAGTGGCTGTGGAGCACGAGGAGGGTTCCAACGGTTGAAGAGAGAGGGGGGATGTAACTTTAGCGCCACGCTGGGATCCATCTGCTGTGTGGCCGTCCCCCCGCGGCCTGACCCCACGGATGCCGCTGACTCAAGCTGACATCCCAGTTCACAGGGGTATCAGGGCACCGAGCACCAGAAGAGTTCAGATGGCTCACAGCAAGAGTGGAAGAGCAGCTAACGTGCTGTTTTTATACAAACCGCGTCCAAGGTGGTGTCGCCACGCCAGATTTTTGACTGTAATGCGGCCAGATAATATATGTGAAAATATGACTCCGTATAGCGATAATTAAAAATCATTATTACTTTAATGTTTAGGAGGGGTTGATGTCATTGTCTTTTGCAACTATTCCGTCTTGGTGTTTAGTGAAAGACTTAAAGGGCTTACTGGGATTTACTGAAGCTAAATTGAACTCGTGGATTTGTTTACACTGTAGTTTCTTTATATCAGTCTCACATTCGGATACAGAACGGCACCACAAGTGTTTGAATCTCTTGTAAATAATTCAGCCACAACAATTATAATAGCTAACTCATTATCCCTCCGTAATGACTCTGCCTACTGAATAAGGTACATGAAAACATTGGAAAACAAAGGCAAGAAACGAGCGAAATGTGTTTTTCAGCTGTTGCATTCGGAGTCTAATTAGGGCAGCGTGGAAAGATTTACAAGATGCTGGTTGTGTGTGTGTGTGTCTGTGTGCTCACAGCTGCCATAGGAATCAGCTAAGTGCCTCTGTCCAGTCAACGCTGTTATTTCAAACTTCAAAGTTGCGCCGCGTCTGTGAGAAAATACAGTATTTTGGGGGGAAATGACAGGCAAGTTTGACAGACTTTAGAACAAAGATTATCACCGGAGGAGAGTGGCAACGTTGCAACTGAATGTGTGGAGCTCGGGCCGAGTAAATGTCCCGTTTTTTTGCTAGAGTGGTGCTCATTTTTATTAACGGGGTCACTGTGCATGGCAACATGATGTAGGCACAGATGCAGGAAAGAGGTTACCATGGAGTCCACATATGAGAGCACGAGAAGGAGGCAGAGATGCCACGGTGCTTGGTGAGAGTGAGCAGGTAATAAAGGAAGAAAAGAGGTTGAATAGGAGGCAGGGAGTGAACACATTTCTTGCACACTTGTATGTATTATTGCTATTTCTGATCATATGAGGTTTACATGAAACATCAGGAATTCAAATCAATGCATGCATGCTTCTGGGGTTATTCTGATTTTCTGCAGAGGCATGTGTCTCCACCACATCCAGCATCAGTCTGCCGTTTCTGCACTAAACAAGTTCCCACAGATTGGAAATGAAACCAGTTTGGCTTTCGGCTGTCGATCTGCCGCATTAGCATGGAGTCTCCATGTGACAAGAAAATGGAAAAAACAAATGTAGCCATCTCTTTAATCCTCTACAGACTTTAATTCTGCATGTGGATCATCATTACTTCAACCGTTTCTCAGGGTTTTTTTTGCCACATGACCTTTGTGACTCAAGAAAAAGGCAACGGCCTGTTCCAATCATCATGTCACTGGGTTAAAAACTGAATTTAGAACTTTTTCAATGGCCAAATACCTGCTAAGCTAATGACATTTCCGTGAGTCTCTGCTGTGCTTTGTCTCCAGTATGATTTGCATGTTGGCAATAAGCATTTAACCCGAAGCACTAATAACAGCCTCATAACAGAGTTGCTAACATGGCTGCTGACTCGTAGTCTTGGTAACTGAGTGCTACATATTGCTAGCTATTGCCACAGTGGTAAACAAAGCAGAGAAAGATCAGAAACCTGGACAACAGATTTAACAGAATCATAGTATCCAGGAGGGAATCAGGGTAAGAATTTATACATATGCAAACACGCAATAAATCGATACTTTATTCATTGGCTTGGGGAAATCATGGCATCCAGTTGCTCACATATCACACATTTTACAAGATAATGTGCAAATGGTGCCAATAGAATATAAAGTATAAATACAGCATAAAAACAAAGTATACAGTCGGGGTATCTTGGCCCTGCTGGACCCAGAATTATTGCACAGTTAAATGTAATGTTGAATTTAATCACAGTTCTCTAAAGCATCGGATCTAGACTTTCCAGGACAGAGCCCCCAAAATAACAGAGACTCATGACCCCCAACTATCCATGGAAGTGGTTAAAGCATACAAATATGGGTGCACACACACACACACACACACACACACACACCGGACCAATCCAGACATGAGCTTAACAACAACAAGAAAGAACACGACGGCTAACAACCCATAATATAATTTCACAGTAATTCAATCTTGTAGCAGAATACATCAATCAAAGTAATCTCCTGCAGTACTTAGTAAACATACAGAATGTATGAGCAGTGGACTCACGGTTGTTTTGTTGTTTTTAATCTTTTCTAACAATTGTGGCTCTTTTTTTACATTTCATGTGATTTCTGAAAAACCATCTCGTCACCACCACATTGGGAATTACAGCTCTAAAAACCAAACCATAGTGGGAATACAGAGGATGTAAATATGAAGAGTTCACAAAAAAATAAGTTCTCTGAAAATCTACAAAAAATGGAGTTATCTGTGTTTGCAAATGAACTCTTCATATACTCAAAGATGGTCACAAAGGTGCACAAAACACCGTATACTCTGTTTTAACAGATAATAGAATGTTTTGTTGCCCCTGTATCCAAGCCTGTCTCCAAATTAAAAGTCCTTGTGCCGGCATTGACTTTGTGAATAAGACGACATGAGTACATTCTCGTTCTTTATATGAACATGTAAGGGAGGTTTTGTGGAGGTTACCTGGACATGAATGTGTCAAACCCAAGCAAAGATACAGTCTTCTTGACCTTTTTCTTTTCCTCCACACATGGTGTTTCTATACTGCAGCAGCAGACTCGGTGTACTACACAGTGCTATTTTTTGCCTTGCTGGTTTGGTGCACTGAGGAAAAAGTGATTCAGGATATATATCCCTGTTTTTGAGGAGAAGTATAAGGCTGTTTGCCCCCCCTGGGAATACGCAGGGAATGTTTCAAGTCAAGGAAACACGTTTGAAAGTCCAACCCGCAGAAGGAAACTTCTCAACACGTCCGTCTCATAAAACTTTCACTGTGAACATTTTGACTTTTCAAACACGTGCAGCTAATCATGTTAACTATGACTGCGTCCCAATTACAGCAGGTGTGCCAGTTTTAAGGCCCTGCTTTTGCACACAGCCACCGGCACGACTAAGTGGAACAGAGCTACCATTAATGTCATTCGTTACACCTGAGATTATTCCGCTATGACAAGTCAAAACGCCTGTGAGTAAGGTTTATGCTGCTGCTGTCGAACTGGGTTCAGGGTCACGCAGAGGTCTTTGAGGTGGCTCCAGGAGGCCTTAAGGAGGTATTAGAAGGAATTTTAAGTCTTTGACTCTTCACTGTCTCTTGGCTATAGCCTTAAATTTACCATACAGATATGAAAGCGGTATTAATCTTTCCATTTAACTTTCTGCAAGAAGGCAGTTGAGCACATTTCCCAAACGAGTCAACTGTGTCAGTTAACTGCTCATGTGAAATGCTACAAAGCAAATCTGCAATTGACAGACATTCAGGTAGGTTTAGAGCTGATGAAAATTCTTAACTTTATCTTCTCAGGTGTAAGCAGTTGACGTACCCAGAGGACCTTCCTCAGATCTCAGTGGTTTTCATCTTCGTGAACGAAGCACTGTCAGTGATCCTGCGCTCGGTCCACAGCGTGGTCAACCACACACCGGCTCACCTGCTCAAGGAGATCATCCTGGTGGATGACAACAGTGACAGTGGTAAGACCTTTTACAGCTTCATTATTTGGGTAAAATATTTTTAAAAGAAACACCTGTTCAGATATTATTGGTATACTGTACTATAGCCAGTCTTTAAACAGGGAGTAGGCTGTATTTTTTGCCATCATAAATTCCAAACTAACTTTTAACTCTATATTGGATAAGGAGCCATATATGGTAACTTCCGCAAGCTTTAAAAGTGGCAGTGGGAAAACTCACATGACTTCGTCCAGCCAACCAGCGAAGGTTAGGCTACATCACAACACAGTGACTATGGCTTCTGACCAATCACCAGTGAGCCAGAGTGATAATTAGACAAAAGTGTCATAAGTCTGACTGGTGAGCTGGAAATAAATGTTCCTTCATCTTTATACATGTATATTTTTTTTACAATAATTTATCCACATATTATTTGTTTTGTTTTTTTTCCGCCTCGTTGAGCGAGAAATTGTGTTTGGTCGCTGCTTTATTTGCAGCCTAAATCTGAAACTTTTTTAAAAAGTCAAAAAAGAAAAACTGTCCTCTTGTATCTACCAACAACACTTTAGGACTGAAATGTTAAATTACCAAGTATTTCAATGAGCGCCCTATAAAGGGTTAAGCATGTTGTAATTTCTTAATTTGCTCAGAGGAAATTCGACTTCTGCACCTCCTACTGGCTCAGTTTTCATGCTTTTGCAAACCATAGTCCATGATGGAACATTTCACAATCTCAGGTCTTTTCACCCAGAGCAGATAAAATAGCAGAACACCAACATGATAGTAGGATGTGAAGGTGCAGGGCTTTGGATGGTGGATTTGCATTTGGGAGACTGTCCTAAATAACTCTTGGCTTTTATCTTTACTATCTTTGCACATTTGAAGCATGATTTCTGCCTACTGCAGCTTTAATTTCTTGTCTTTGATACGCTCTGCTGGACATTAACTGACGAGTAACTTAGATCTTGCCAGTTGCTGTGGAGATTTGATCAAACATCCTTCTGATCAAGTCTCTAAGTGCATCTTTCCAGACTTTGAATCATCAAACTTTATCACTGGCTATTGCTGTAGATTTTGCTATTCAGCTGAAAACAGTCGGCCTGTTTGTCTTGTTTTGTCTCAACTCAGGGATCATATACAAATGAGTTAGTGTTTTTTGACTCCTGTCTGAATCATCACTGTTTCCATGCTTCAGTTTCTGTTCATACTATCATATGTATGCGTGTGTTTCTGTATGTGTGCCACAGTTTGCTTTCTGTGTGTTTGGTTTTGTGAGTAACAGTTCAAGGGATGGAGAACCCCTGAGGGGGGACACTTGAGCACCAGGTTTTAAAATAGCTTTAAAAAAAAAAAAAAAAGGAGGAAAGAGAGGGGATGGGATTTGTCTCGTCACTTTCTAAACTGCCGCGTACTACTGTCTCCATGGTGATGTGGGCAAATCCTTCAGTTGCCTCCACACTGCGACGCCCACAGCAGCTGATGATGCTCGGCTCCACATCCCGAAAGCATTCCTGTTTGGAGAGGGAGGGACAATGAACTAGATTGCAGACCACACTTGGCCCTCCTTCACTTGGCACGGAGTAACAAGCCTGCCTCCTTCAGGCTGTCAGAGGAAAACGGCTCATAAATAACATACTGAAAGAAGGCCGAGCCGGAGTCACCACTGGCACGTCTCCGCTCCCCACTGAGGCTCTAACTGCCTGCTATTAAAGAGGGAGCCGTTAAAAGCCAGGAACAGACAGAAATGGCAGCCGACCCCTCCTCTCATTACACCAGTCTGCTCCACACATTTCCACTCTTACTGCGGTTTTCTTTAATGGATTTTTGAAGAACAACCTTATTTTCACTATGAAGGCTGTAATATGTTCAGTATTCAATTTCATTATATTTCACGTCCCCATCGTCCCATAAAATTTTATTGTTGTGTCTGAGATTCTAAAACACTATTGAGACTCTCCAAAAAATCTAAAGTGAAATCTTTAATGAAATTATTTCAGAACAACTGTGATTATTTGTTGGTAAGAAAGCGCAGAGATACTTTGGAGCAGCAATAATTAAACTTTTTATGTCGACAAAGGATTAGATGACTTGACGTGTGATATGAATGTTGTTTCTTGTATTGACAAAACCATAAAGAATGATTATCCTTCTCTACATTACCCCTCAGTTCTACAGTGTTTTACTGTCTTTCAGCTCACTGTTTTGGTTTTCTGGTCTCCCCTTTTCTGTTTAATTTCACTCTCACTGCTTAACAAAATGCCATACTTACTTTTTAAACCATTATTTATCCACTGTAGCAGTGCAATACTTTTTAAAAAAAACTTAATTTTAATGTATGTTTCCTTGTGTCGTTATTGTTTGTTTTTCACCTTAAAGGAAGCTCTCTCAAATTTCATTGTATCATCCCCAGAAGTGACATAGAGAGAAGAAAAAAAAAGAAACTGGGAGAGGAAAAAAAACAATAGAGGTATCTTGTAAAACTTTCTCAGGATCTCACAAAACGTTCTCCTTGCAAAACTATAGATATGTATACTTTTTGCAGTATGGAGAAACAACAGTGGAGGACACCCACCCATACAAGAGTTTTATTTTGAAATCGGCCTAAACTATAAAGACATCCAAGCAGTGCTTAGCAAGAGGCACAGTTTTCACAAAACGTCCAATAAGATTGATGCGACTTTTGTGATACCTCTATTTTTTTTCCTTTCTCCATGTCCCTTCCAGAGCTCCGTAGTATCCTGTGTACATTGACAATAAAGATAATCTAATCTGATCTAATATTAATTATTGAGAATTCAAGCAATTCTCTTAAGAGAATGACACATGTTCACAATAAATAAATAAATAAAGTGTGCACAAAAAAAATAAATGTCACTGCAACTAATGTGTTTCTGTATTTCATGACGAGAAACCCTTGTCCAAGATAAATGATGTGAAATTTAGTCACACCTGATAGTTAAATCATTATGTTGACATCCCATTCCCACTAATTAAACCCTGAAGATTCATTTAAATTGTCACAATAGCACTCCAGGCCTGGACACTCATCAGGACTGTCAGAATAAAGTTCCCTCGCCCCCCACCCTCAAGAAAAGGCGACAAATTGAAACTGATGTACAAGCAATTAACACGAGTGGGCAGTTCACTGACCTCACAGTACATGACCGTGAGGTGTTTTCATTGTCCGATTGCGTTTTGCATCTATAATGAAAGGTCAGGTCATTATCGCGTCGGTCAGCTGCTCTTACTGTATGTTTACCAACACTGACGATAATCCGTGCAGATGTGCGAGCTGTGTCTGCTGTGACATTAGATAATTAACATGCAAGCTGGACTGCTTGACCTTTCCTGGTTGTCTCTGTCTGTCCCCCGTAATTTAAACAAGGCTCAGTGAGACGAGCGGAGGTGCAGCCACGCTCACTCCTGGCGTAATGAATCACACACAGGAAGCATGTTTGCCTTGTCGCCACGACACATTTCCTTTGCTGGGACAGCCGCTGACATTTATTGGTGGCTGAAGGGTTTATTCGCAGCAACGCTTCCAGCGAACTGAACTGGGACTCCCGTTCTCATTGATGAGCTTTGGCTCTGCATGTCAGCCTGGATGACTCTGGTTCATTGTTGTTCATAATGTTAGCAGCAAGGAAAGGCTTAATGAGCCCTGCAGGATTCAATTCCAGCAAATACCACCACCAAATTGATAACTTAATGATTCATATAATGAAAACAGGATATAAACGGAAGACCAGTTGAGTAACAGCTTGTAATATTAATTTCAAGTAGAGATGAAGTACTTCAAATATTGCATACATTATATCTGATTAAGGCTTCTCAATAGAAGATTTGCTGATTAACACAGAGCAGGAAATTTGTCTGACACACGATGACACAAGAAATTATATTAAAAACATACACTTTCTATTTGTCATACATTGATCTTCATTTAATCTTCATTCAGCTTGCTTTTGTTCGAATTGGACTCGTTCTTTTGTTGCAAGAAACAATCAATGACCAACAGTTTGTTTTAGCACCTGATTCAGACGTTATCAGCCCATTAAGCGATCGTTATTATCATTCCCAGGAGGAACCAACCTCCTCCTCCTTCTAGTCAGTTCTGCCTCCACAAAATCACATTCCTCTACAACTAAACTCCATAATCGGTTTTGTTTTGAAACAAACATATTTTCTCAGTTATGACTTCTTGAGAAAAGGCGTCCAGTTTGAAAGAGTCACAAAATCCAAGTAAGGAAACATGAAGGGAGGATGGTGGCACAAATCTGGGTAGGAACCCTACGTGGGACTGTTATTGTTAGACTTCTTTAACTCTTTGTTGACTTCTGGTTTTCACTCCCACTGGTGGGACGTTTAAGCACCAAAACTAGTTACTTCGATTTAGGAAAATACCAAAGTTTAGGTTAAAACCTTTCCTTTTTTGAAGCTTCTCCTCCATGTTCTTGGCCTCTGTGTTGATTTAATATATAATTGACAGGTTGATAAGAAGTGAAAGTAAAGCAACAATATAAAAGATTTGCTGACTAGAATCATGAGCTGTTGAGTCTTTTCGTGAACTCTTTAACCCTGTCTGCTGTAAAAGGGTTGACCCTGTGCCCTGATCTCAGCTTCCAAACAAGCTGGGATATGGAGAAAGGCAACATTTCCTCTTGTGGGATCTAATTTTGTGAAGACAGGGTTGTTGTAGTAGGCCAGAAAGTGCATTCTATTTGATCATTAATAAGCAGAAAGTAAACCTAATAACACTGGCACCCTTTTGCGGTTGTGTGACTAAGTATATACAATAAAATGGAGCTTTATAGCACACAATATATGTAGCGACATGGTGCATTTTAATTAAAATCATAATCCTTTTTCCAAACCTAAGTGGTTTTGGTGCTTGATTACCAAACAACAGAAAATGCAAATAAGCAATGAGTGAAAACAAAAGTTAGAATTTTAAAAAAAAATGCTATAATAATGGTTTTGAGACCACTTGACTGAAATTCAAGTCTCCACTGACTTCTACC